TGTGTGTGTGTGTGTGTGTGTGTGTGTGTGTGTGGAAAAATTATGATTATCTGAGACAGCAATTTGTCTTGACTTAATTTTGACTCGCTGAGTATCTATTTCATGATATATTTCCATGTACCATAAACACCTTCAATTTCAGGATTTGTGCATTTTGGAATCCACTTTCTACTTCTTGGTAGATAAAATAATATTTCCTTTGAATTTACTGTAATCCATGTTGCTTTCAGACATGCACTGAACTCCACAGATCCTCTGTGGTTTATCTGGGGGAGCTGTGTGTGTGTGTGAGCGCAAATGTCTGAGTGAGAGCATTCAATGTTTCTGCTACTTTCTCTTTCACCTTGAAATATGTCTGCTATGGTGGAGATGGAGACACCTGTGAGGTTTTCCACAGTTCTCAATACTCTCTGCAGACTGTACAGTTGCAGTGGGCATGGGTATATCCTGTAGGGGATCCCTTGCTGGATTCACCATGAGTGAGTGTGGGGGTTGATGACACTTCTAACAAGTGCCGGTGTTGATCTGATGGGAAAAAAAAACACTATGTCTCCACAGTCTAGTTAATATGTCCTTTCTCTGCCTCCGGCAACACACCTCACCTTAATCCTTCAGAGGATTTGTTTCTGTTGTGAATGTGTCTTCGAAGAGAGCCTCCTGCTGCGTTGTCCATATGTGAAAGTCCAAACATAATATTCTGGAGATCCTCCACAGGTTATGTCTGAAAATGACTTTAGTAACAGTGTGTGCATGTGTGTGGGCACCTTCACAGACATCCCCTGTTCCCTCTGTTGGCCCTGCTGTTTGAGAAGTGTGAACAGTCCACACTGAGCTCTGAATGCATTACCTCGGCAAGCTTTGATGTGGACATTGAGAACTTTGTCCGCAATCAGGAGAAAGAGGGCAAACCCTTCTTCAGCGAGGACCCTGAACTCGACAACTTGGTGAGATAACTCTACAAATCTGGGTAGAAATAGAGAGAGAGAGAGAGAGAGACAGAGACATTCAGGACTCATTTGGGTGCTTTCAGACCTGACTACTTGTATCAGATCACTCAGGACTGATGTTAATACCAGGTCTGAAAGGTATCTCAGACCCCAAACACCTGGTATTAACATGTGGTCCTTGTGATCCGATCTCAAGTGGACAGCTCAGGTGTGAACGCGCTCAGATTTGATAGCGATCCGATCACCCCCTACTCAGCTGATGTCCTCTGACCCGCTGCTGAATCAAACATATTTTTTCTCTTCTTGGTGTTTTTTCCTTTGTGACCACTGTCACAATATCAACACTGATCACCACAAAATGATCGATACCCTCCTTAAAATTGTTAAAATCTTTCTTCACAGCTGCACAAGATTAATTCATACTCTCCTGACTCCTGACTAC